CACACACACACACACACACACACACACACACACACACACACACACACCTTGTCTGTACCTTAGTTTTCAGCAAACATGGTTACTTAACAGACAACAAAATTCATCTTCCATTATGTCATCAATTCAGTTACAAATGACAAGATTTAATAGAATTTAGACAAGTAAAAGCATGTCCAAAATCTGACTAAGGAGTTAGCAATAAATGGCAGAGAAGGATATTTAAGCAATCAGAAAAGAAGAGGGAAATATCTGCTTTTTTTCTTTTGGTGGGGGGAAATGGAGGAGTGGGGGGATGTCTTTATACTCTGTCAGATGCTTTTATTCAGTCTGATTCACCTAGGGAGTTTCAATAGAGACCCCTGTAGGCTCAGGCAGTAAGTCAGCTTCTTGTCCTAATCCTACAGGACTTTCCTCTGGAGAATTAAAAGATAATATAGCTAGAGAGGAGGAAAAGCGATGGTGGTAGGACAATATACCTCAGCCCAAGCCAAAAAGTTTGCAGTATGCCATTTTAGGAGATGATGTAAATTACCCATATGTAAATTGTTATTCACAGCTTTGTTTGTAAAATCACAAAACAAAGCCCCTCAGAAAGTGCCTTCTTCCCATCCCTGCCCATTAGACTTTGTAAGACCTTGCCTTCTTTAGAACTTTCATCTGATTAATCTTGTACCTTTTCTTATTGTGACTCTACTTAATTCTACATTCTATTAATTATTTCAAAAATGTACTTAATACTATATTGTTTGCTTTTGTTGATATGACCTAGGCTCTAGTCCTGGAATGGGGAACTTATTACCCACTAATTAGCCCGAGGTTATAATTTTGTCATCTACAAAATAAGGAGGTTGGACTAAACCAGTGGTTTCAAACTCAGATTAAAACAGAGGCCACTAAACCATACACAAGGATTCTTATGGACCAGATACTTATTTAGTGTTAAAATATAATATTTTCTATTTATTTATCTATATTATTTAGTTTGTTAAAATTTTTAACAAAAATATTTTTAAATATATTGTTAAATATTTCTTAATTACATATTAGTTTGGTCCAGGCCACACTTGGGAGTGTTGTGAGCTTCATGTAGTCTCATATTTGACACTTCTGGACAAGACAATCTCCAAGGGTCCTCCCAACTCTAATAGCTTATGAAAAATTATAAATATCTTAATTAACATTTATTAAGGGTATGTTATTTGACCAATATGCTGTTTTCATGTTGTTAAACTTCTGTGAACATAGGTTTGTATTCCTTAGTTAGGTTTTCAACACTTTTAGGGATATTATGTCTTTTTTACTTTGTGTCTTCTCCTCCATAATATTCTAAACCAGAGCTCTAAATATAATTATCGCTAAGAAAAAGTCTACTAACTCAATTAGCAGACCTCACTATTCTATTGATAGTTCCAATTACTAGCAATCTTTTCAGGTGAATCATGCTTCAAATGATCCACTTTTTTCCAGCATTATTTCAGTGGTAGACATTCAAACCACTCAAATTCCACCCAGAAAAACAGACACTTTCTCTGAGGTTACAACTTAGAGCATTGAGGCCAGTAGTATTAGCCCAGGTCTCTCCTCCTCTAGTGTGTTCCCATGAGCTAGCAATTTTTTTCCCTCTAGAGAGAAAAGAAGCATTATGGTGACATATCATTCAGAACTGACACTAAATTAAAAGTGAACTGAAGGAGTGACACTAAATTACAAGTCAGCTAGAGCTCTCTATGATGCCCCTTTTCTTTTAATTTCAGTAGAACATGAAGACTTTTACAAAGAGAGAATGATGAGTTCCTTTTTTGTGCTTCTTCACGTTGGATCATAGGCTCATAGACTTATAGCTAGAAAAGATCATGAAAACCATCTAGATGAGGAAACTAATTTACTCAAAGTTACAAAGGTAATCATGAAATGAAATGAAATGAGATGAACTTTGAGCACAATTCCTCTAACTCCAGATGTATCATGCTTTGTGCTTTCCATACCTATGATGACACGTTAAATAAACTCACCACACCATAGGAATATGTATCACAAGTTTCAGAAACTGGAAGACTCTGGATAACTTCTGGGGCCATCCATGGAAAAGTGCCTACCAAGGACATGTGTGTTGTATGGTTATGGAACCGTGAGGCACCAAAATCACAGATCTGGGAAACACAAAATCATAAATCAACTTTGTATTTATTTCTGATCAAATAACAATGAGATCTTAAATTCCATATTTTAACAAAACATTCCTACCTTTAATACTCCATCAGCAGCTATGACAACTACAAGCAAAAAGAAAGAGAATTATATGACTATCAATCTCTTCTCTTTAAAGTAGCTTATTATTGATGATAACCTAAAATTTCTGTGTTCTTTATTAGTACTTATAATCCTGAGTCACTTGGGAGATTTACAAAAAGAAGAAAATAGTAAGGCTGTAATAAGGATTTTGCAAAGAAAAGGTGGCCTTGGTTTATAAACTAAAATACAGGAAATGAAAAGTCTACCAAGTCTTCTATTCATCACATAATGGTACTGCTCAGCAGAAAAAAAGAAAAAAGTACCAGATTAGCAGTTAAAGTCTAGTCTTAGTTCTGCCAGTAGCTACTTTATATGACTTTGAAGATGTCATTAATTGCTCCATGCCTAATTGTCCTCATCCATAAATTATATTTTTTTCATGTTGTATGTGTGATGAGGTCTAGCTATACCAGGTTCCTTCTGGAGCAAGGAGGAAAGAGGGAGAAAGAAACAGCTAAAATGACTAACAAGTCCCTAAGTACAGTCCTTAATGCCGTAGGAATGAACACTACCCCTTGTGTCCATACCTATCTAGCCTACTCATTACTGGTGTACTCAAAGGTTTCTGGGATTTGCTTATCCTACACTGGTACATTTTTGAAAGGTTCCAGCTCTTTTTGGACTCATGAGCATAACATAGTCCTGAGCATCTTAGGCTATTAAGTAGCCTTCACTTCTGAGGTAGGGATTGTTTCCTGGTACTATCACATATACTAATTATTTCTTTTCTGAGAACCAGAATTTATACTCAGACCCAGGAAGCAGTAAGTCGATTGGGTAATGTAGCCTTACATTCTTTTATGTATTTACTGAAGACTTGTTTATATATAATCAAGAAACCCTTTGGTTAGAACTGCTGAGTGTATGGCTATATCTTTGTTTCATGTGATCCTGGACCAGACTAGATAAATTACTTTTTTCCTCCAAATACATTTTAAGCTCTATAAGGGCAGTGGTTTATGTAGTATCCCTCTCTGTATTCCCCAGAGCTGTGTTCTACATCTTATGCATCATAAGGGTTCAATAAATATTTACTATTATTGATGAGGGATGATAATATCTCTAAAACTTATCTCCCAAATATATCCTAAGAATAAATCAAATGAAATCAAGAACAGATTAAATGAAATAACATAAGGCTGAAAAACTTAAATTACTATGTAATGACCAGACGATATAGGCAAAGACCTTTGTTATTCAAAAGAAAGATTTGGTTATCAATAAAATTATATTAAAACAGTTAAAATAAAAAGAAGAAAATGGGTAATTCTTTTCAATATTATGAAAAAATTTAAACAACTATTGAAATACCTAATACAATCCCTTCTACTGACAGATTTTTATGGAACCTCAGAAAAATCATGAGGTTCCCACACATTTAACTCTTGACATATTCATAACTCTCCCCTGAGACATCTATTCAGATTAATTTGCCAGGGGACAAGGCATGTATTGCACAAAGACATTAGCTGGATGGTTCTGGTATGATGATCACCAGTGAAATGATTAGCAGTGTTGACCTTTAAATGGTCATAATTAGTCTTCAAAGTTAATATGCTATTAAGATGAATGGAAGATCAAGCCTCACCTTGTGCTAGTATTTTAGCCTTGACTCAGGTTTAACGATACAACAATAGGCAGGTTTTTTTTCAAACAATCAAATTTTAAACATTCAAATCGGAAGAATTTGCCCAGCTTTGAATATAGACATTATATCTTGAGGAATACAGTCAAGATATTCAGGAAGATCTAGAAGTCAAATTTAGTTTTGATGCACACAATATATTATTATAAATTAAGCTTGCAAATAGGAAACTGCCATCTTCTTATTTCTGCTTTGTTGGAAACTTTTAATTCCTTACATGTCCATATCTAAACAATGCACATTTAAGGACAACAAGCAATATCTAGATTTCAACCAACCTTTGAATGATATTATGTTTTTCACTGTTGAGGCTAAGAATAGGGACACAATGAACTTTAATTTATTTTTCTTACAGAGCAATTTTAGTGGACTGAAATCACCAGGCAACTTATGGATGAGACTGACTTTTTTCCCTGTAAGTAGCCAAGAAGTCAAATTAAAAGGGAAGATTTCAAACACCTTGATTTGTTGGCCATCCTAAGTACACCCTAAAAATTTTGAGGTCATAATAGTGCTTTAAAAATTTGATATTTTCCACTGGAATCAAGAAACCCCCCTAATCATTTATTTTATTAAAAGCATTGTAAACAAAATAGAAAACCCATAGTACCTAGTCCAAGGGAGCTTATTTAGCAAGTACCAACATCACCTAAAACAAGGGGAAGCTAATGGTCAACTGAAAACAACTGGTGGATTGTGGTGTTTCATTTGCTTAATCATAAAGTGGCAGCTACCACAATAGCCTTTGCCCCATTTTTCAACTTTATATGTTTCTAGGTGAGAGGAAGGTATAATTGGAGATCACTAGCACTTCCCCCTGAAGGGAAGCTCCTCTACCTCACCCCACACCCAACCACATGAACACCTGTCCAAGCATAATATCTCATCGCCCACTAGAAGATTAAAGTTCTACTAGTTACAGAGGGGAATAGCAATTCCCTTGACAGAGAAGAAATATTTCGAAAAGACTATGCCATTGACAGAGCTATTGACGTGGGTAGATCAATGTTTTTTTTTTTTTAATAGGAAACCACCAAACTTCAGCTAGTTCTGCACAACTGAAAAATAACACCAATAAATTTCCCCTCAGACAGATTTTAAGTGATACAGTAAATGGATACTAATCCTTCAAGTTATTTTCATCACAACTTTGGCTCATACAAGTATGAGTGACTCAAAGAAAAACTAAAACCAAATAATACAAAAGTAACATGATTTTTCAAACAAGAATGAGCTCAGAACTATTAGTGCAGAAAACCAAGCTTCCAAAATGGCTTTAAGAAAAAGAAGATTAAAGCTACATAGCTACTTTACCATTTCTTGATTTGAGATCTCTGTGAATCACCTTGACTGGAGCCTCCATATGTAAATAGTGCATTCCTATTTGTTTGAGAAGGGGAAAAAAAGGATCACCAATGTTAGTTTCATGACATTGTGTCAGTACCACATTGCTTCTTTAAACAATGATGACAACAGCACAAATTGGATTTTTGTACCTTGTTATTCTATGATTGATGGAGTGGAGAGAGGAAATCATGGCACAGTCACATTGGTGTACTTTGATCTGTTCAATGTTGGATTATGATTAAAGGTGATATCTATGGGCACTTCACTTTTTTTCTGGGTTTTGGATGAATCTAAGCCTCTGTTATCAAAGTAATTGGTCAAAGTGTGACCTAAAGCTAAGTATCCTAGGCAATCCTTACCCTACTACCAGTAGTCCAAAGGTGCTAAATATGAACTAATCTATCCTGTGCCGAGTAGTATTAGTAGCAAGAATTCTAGAATTGAAGTCTGGAGACACTTAGGTTCGAATCCCATCTCCAATATTCATTTAAGTTGCCAAATTATGGTAACTTTATCTTTCTGAGTCTCAGTTCTCTTATCAGTCAAATGGAAATGATGATAGTATTTGTAATTCTTGACTCAGGATTGTTGTAAACATACTATGAAAACATATGTGAAGCACATTGTAAACCTTAAAGTCTTCTATACATATGTCTACTACTGTTGTTTACTGTTACAAATAATCAACATCCTTAATGTTTAGAAAATCCAGATTATTGACTGAATTTTTAAGGTTTCATCTGACTTTCTGAAGTGATCTAGATCCAGCCAGGGTTTCCTTTCCTCATATTCATTACACCTGGGCATTAAGAACAGGAGTAAGAATTAATAAGCTATCATTTACAAAGTAATTAATGCTTAGACAGAAATATATCATATATAATAGATATAAAGTATTTTGTTATTTTCACAAAGGCTTAATCTCTGAAGAAATTTATATTTAAATTTGAACAAAAATTCTCTTCTATATATTTTGGCTAAAAGTAAGTCTATTTAACTCTGTAAATTGAGCACATAATTAACAAATGAAGTTTTGATAATAAGGAATCCACTTGGTGTGGAAAAACCCAGATTTGGATCAGTTTCTCTGAAGTGATTTTTTTTGTTCTTTTACTGCCTGAATTTACATACTGTCTATCTCCACAGTATGTAAGTGCTCTGACAGATGTGCTATTTTTGCAAAATGCAAATATAAAAATAGAAGAAAAATTTCTTCCCCTATGTTTAAGCTATTCAAATATTCCCTTCATGTAAAGAGGAGAAAATGAGAGCCCAAGGAATACCTCCCTACTTATACAATTGCTCAAGTTTATATATCCCCTAAAATAGTGCTTTGTTAATTTTGAAAATTATGATTATATAAAATTATTTTTGTTGATATTTCTATTTTTTTAAAAACTATATTCTCATTATTAAATTGTTTTTGCCAGGAATCATTTTTATAGTAGTAAAAGGACAAATAAAATCAAATGACATTATGTATATAAAGTACTTTGTAAATCTTAAATGCCAACTATTTTATTATTTTTGTTAAAATTTATTTAATCTTTGATATTTCTGTATTTTAAAATATCTAAAAGCTATAGATAGAATGAACTCTTCTCAAACATAACAATTGACAAAGAACTAAAGACAAATTAAGAAAAAGGTTAATAATTTAAATGTTTTGAACAAAGATGAAATTATAATAAAGGAAGTCTCTCTTACAAATTTGAATGTCAAGACACAGGTCCTCCTCCCTTTTTTTTTTTTCAAATGGAATCTTTTGAATACAATATTGATTGCTTATTTACTGAGTGAATATAACACTTTTAATATTCTCAGGTTGTTAAAGAGAAATGCCTATGATTAGAATGTGCATTTCAAATCTTTCTCATTGAATTTGTTGCTTCTTTCTTACTATTATTGCTCTATTAATATATTAAGAGAAAAATTATACTGACAATAATTACAGAGATAAATTTCTGAAAAAATTTGCCAAGCAAAATTGTTTCCAATATTACAAAAAACAAAGACACATTTGTTATGGTGGTTACTTTTGAACTATGTCACACTTTATAAAGAATATGATTTTAAATACAAAGGCAATCATCATACTTATGATGGATCATGTTCCTAGATAAGATACTATAACTCCAATGACTCATGATAAACTTTATTTTTCCATAGTATAATGTTATGATTGGGAGTTAAAAAACCTGAACAAGAATTTGCTACCTAAATTTTATAGAAATGACAGCAAATACTATATAATCCTGTATATTGCAAAATGTAAATCTTATTATATCTACAGAAATAAGATAAATAACATATCAGTAATCAGTAATCATGGGCAACTAGGTCATTCAGTGGATAGAGTACTGGGCTTGGAATCAAGAAGAATCATCTTCATGAGTATCTGGCCTCATACACTTACTAGCTATGTGACCCTGGGCAAATCACTTAACTGTTTGCCTCAGTTTCCTCATCTTAAAATGAACTAGAGAAGGAAATAGCAAATCACTACAGTATCTTTGCCAAGAAAATCCAGAAATGGGGACATGAAGAGTTGGTCATGACTGAAGTGACTGAACACACACACACATACACACACACACACACACACACACACACACACACACACACCCACCAATCTATCCCACCAAATTATATTTAGTGTTACAGTCTCAATGTTTACTTATAAAAGTTTTTACTTTTTTTAAGCTCTACTTTTTTTTCTTTAAAAAAATGCAACAAATTTGAGATAAAATAGTACCTTTTCTAGGTTCATATTAGTTTTGGGGAAGATGTTGATATGTGTCTTTTGAGGAGACTTTTGTGGAAACTTAAGGTTACTTCATATTTTTAGAGAATTGACCCGTAGATGTCTATAATAAGTGTTCAAGATCAGGTTGTTGCTTTTTCTGTCTTTAAAAACAGAAAGCCTTTCTGCTTTCTTAAACTGCTATCTCATCAGAGAAGCGCAAGGTACCCATTCCTTTAAAATGTATGAGAATTCTTAGTTGCACTGAATTTTTCATCTTTTGGTCTCTCACCACCTCAAAGTATTGAAAATTCTTAAAGCTTTTGGCAGGTATGATGGTCAAATTCAAAGGCCCACGATGTTTGATCCTGAAGGTATAAAACCAAGTCTTTCCATCTAAGCTGTAAGTCCTACACATTTCCTTATAATAGTAGACTAAAGCCATGACTATAGTACTGTTTCTTCCCTTTTCCTCTCTATTTTTAGGAAATAATATAACTTTCTTTTATGGAAATAATGTGACTTTAAAGTATCAAAGTTGGTTTTCTCTCCCAGATACATTGACACTTATGGATTTAAATAACACAGCAGTTACTATGGTGAAATATTCCAACTCCGCTGCTATTGTTCAGAACATTTTTTGGAATTTTGAAGGGGAAAGGCCCCAAGAACCACGTTACAGTTACATATTACTTTACAATCCTGGGACACATTTCCTCTATCCAGTCAGTTCAGAGGATTTTGAACTAGCAAGGTCCTTAGACATTGTTTGGTCCAACCTTTAGCACAGTGCCTGTACAACATAGGTGCTTAATGAATGTTTCTTGACTGATGGCCAACCCTACAATTTTACAGATGAGGAAACTGAGGTCAAGAGAGGTGAAATAATATACATAAAATTACACAGGTTACTAAATAGTAGAGCTGAAATTTGAACTCAGACCCTCTTACTCCAATTCCAGTGCTCTTTTAACTGCCTCTTCCTATATTCCTCCTGGTTTGCCTAGTATTTTCATCCCTGCACTGCTGCCAATGTACCCAGAGGATCCCCTAGAGAAGGGCTGTGATGTTAGCTTAGAGCCAAATGACCTCTATACATAGGATTTGTGGGTTGGAAGAGGGGCTGTTCTGGGATAGCCAGAAGCCTGTAGCTATTCTCATACTTAAGAGAAGTTTATCAGGATGCAAAATGACCAGGTTCATTTGTGTACAATGGATATAACTGAATAATGTAAGTGAAAAAACTAGGTAAATCACTCAGTGGCAGGAAGGGGAAGCTTTCATGTTTACACTGCTGCCATTCTTATGTTATTTTGATAGGCTAAATGGGGTGGTCCTTATTGCAGCAGGACTTCTAATAACACTGTTGGATCTTTGCTTAAAGTTGAGCCAGGCCCTTTGTGATATCATATAAACCCACGGAAAGATGACTGTGATATTACAACAAAATGCTTTGAAAAGGATTAAATTCTGAAAGAGGATTCACCAGTTTTAGGTAAATTATCTTCTAGGCTTCAGCCCCAAATAGGATAATTCCAAAAGGAATGCATTGCTTCTGATAATCAATATAACTTACTTTTTTTTCTTTTGATGTGCAAATTTAGACAGCTCCACTCTAAATGTTCATATGGATTATTTGTGCCTGACCTGTGGTAGAGCCTTCTGAGTTCATATTGGTTTGATCACTGTCAGACACAATGTATATTGACTTCAACATGGTGATGTCATTTTGGTCCTCTTCGAGTATGAAGGACAACAACCAATAACTTACTAATCAAATCAAGGTAGGACTTGCTCCCTTTCCTGAATATGAAACATCATTAAATCTTATTTTATACAGATGAATACAGAAAGCTGCTACTTTACATAATGATAACAATTCACATTTATATGGCATGTGCCTCCCAACAACTGTGTAAAGCAAGTAAAGCAAGTATGATTGCCCCCATTTTACAGATGAAGAAACTGAAGTGTAAGGAACTTGTCCACAATCATAGAGCTATGAAAGGTCTGAGGCAAGAGTCAAATGCTTGTTGATGCTTAATTTACTATTTCTCCTCTTATGCCTTTAGATGAGCTACATAGAGTTAATTGCTCCAAGAAAATTTGGACATTGGCATCCTAGGAGTTGCTGGAATACAAATGTAACTATCGGCCTTCATTATTTAGGTCAAGTTGTTTCCAGAGCAACTTGGATAGTTATAAATAAAACTCCAAAAGGTTCACAGTTGTGAAAATGGAAAAAAAAGAGATAAAAATAAATGGAATTTGAATTACTTCAGAAAGCCTTAGGTTGTACATGAATTTATGAGGGAAAAAAAGGATTAGACATTTTATTGGCTAGTATTCTGGGGATTTTGTAGGTTAAAAATATTTAATTTCCAAGAGTGATTTCCAAGACTGTATTAAATATAAAATGGAATCTGAATTGTTTTTATATGGCAGAATGAATAATATATTTTCTAAAGTGATTCCTATTTTTAGCATATACCATGTATACAAAATGGGTAACCTAATCCAATGATAAATCAGTTTCTCCTTGGGCCTGAGTATAAACCAAGCCTCGCAGAACAATGGCATCATGGTTTCTCCATCTAATGTGTCAAGAAGTTAGAGTGGTAAGATTGTCAATTACCCTGTCATATGGTCCTGGGATACACTGAATTGTTGATGCTGGTTGGAGAGAAAAGAAGGATGTAAATGAGGAGATAAGGAAAGGAAAAGTAGAGTGAAAAAAGGAGAGCAGAGGTAGGAAAAAGAGAAAAGGAACTGGAAAAAGAAGACAGAGTGGAAATGAAGCAAAAACAGAAAACAAGTTTAAATTTTGTTTTAGGAATCAGTTGAGTGTTAGTATATTCATTCTGGAAAGGGAAAAGCATATTTTTCTCATTATGTTCTTATTTCAGGACAGGCTTAAAATCATAAAACACTCTTACCTTTAGCTACATCAGTGGCCCAAGTCATAATATGCTCCATATCCATTTCCTCACTTCTATTACTGTTTATGTAATCATATAATGATCCTAGAGAAGCATACTCTGAAAAAAAAGACATGTATATTAGAACCACAGTTGCTCTTCTAAACTTGAATTTGATGATTCAGAAACAAGTCTTGAACTCCTGAAATATGAAAGCAGAATTGAGCCCTATAGTAAAATGACTTAGCTAAAAGGCTTCATAGGTATATTAGAAAATTTAACAATTCACTATGCTAAAGTTTCTAAAAATTAAGGTTGTTCTAGAAAAATATCTCAAAGGTAAAATCCATTATTACGGACTTCACACAATAAATTTTAATGGATTTACAAGCAAAGAGGGGGAAAAATCTGCTACATAGAAACGAAAGAAATAAAATTAAAGGCTCCTAGAAGAGTATGTTTGAAATAAAGGTATGTATGCTAAAAGGGACATTAAAAAAAACTTGTATTTTCATTATACAAATTGTTAAATGTGTACAACAGAGCATATGTAAGATAATAATCAGACTAATTCTTGAAACACTTGTTTATGTGAAGAGGCAGAATAGACAAAAGGCAGTTCCTCAAATGAGACGTTTCTATTTTACCCTTCACAGTTTTAATGATTGTTACTTAACACTATCATAACACATAATTTCACTTTTTTCAAAATTGAAAAGTGTCTTTGCAAAGGGCAAAGGACATGAAATTCTCCACAAAATACTACTCCAATGCCTCATGCTGGTTTAATGGTGAGGGTTGGTTCTTAAAAGCTATACCTTTAGGATCTCTGTACCATGTACAGTAAGCTTCACACAGAGATCTGGTAACATAGTGTTTACTTCCCAAGGACTAATGTAGCTAAGTTCAGAAGGGATCACAGTCTCACAGACTGGCCACTAGGTCATGAATTCTTTGGCAATAGCAAACTATAAAACACAGAAAAAACATAAAATGGCTACCACACCTGTGCAAAGTCTCTATGCTTCTGCAGAGAGGTAACAGAGGTTGCTAAAAATCACACAATTTTTAGAACATCTATTAATATTAACTTAATTGTTGGTTCTCTAAATGTGAGATTTTTTTTCAGTGGACACATTTCTAGAGAAACTGAATCATCTCAATATTGGTATTCTCTCTATAAAAAGACAAATGGAAGTTGCCACTAAATGGAAGGGTATCTCACAGGTCCTTTTGGAGAGGCAAATAAAGGAATTGGTGGAGTTGGTCTTAATCAGGCTTCAACAAACATCTAGTAACATGATTTCTTCAGATGTTTCATCATCTCATATGAAAGCACTCTTGATGAACATTTATAAAAAGACCACAATGAAGATAATTGCATCTTATGAGCCACTATCTATTGCAAAATGAGGAGGGAGAAAAATTCTACAAAGAATTAATGAGAAACCTGAGATTTAATCAACATATATTTTGATACTCAGTGACTTCAGTGAAAAAGAGACTATGGAAGAGCTTGACAAAAATGTATTTATTTTGGGAAAGATGGCTTAGTAATAAGAAAGAATAGAGGCCAAACACTCACAGACTACAGAGAAGTCTCACACATATTTTTTCTTTACAGAATTGTGAGGCTCTGGGCATAGCTAGCATCATCGCCAATGAAACTGACCATATTTTAACTTACAGGAAACAACCTGGATTACTAATGTGGGAGTGTTTTCAATCAGCTTTCTGTGTATGTACTATCCACTTAGAACATAGGTGAATATTAATACAAATTAGAAGAAAGGATAAAAATGTGAAGATAGAGTATGCAGCTAAAACATTTCCAACCCAACCTATTTAAATAATCTATGTTAAAAAAAATGGGAAATGGACAAAATAGCAGACATTAATACAAATTCTGACTGTTTAGTAAGGAAATTTAACCTATAAAAAGCAAATGCCACAACGAGGTGACCAGAAGAGCCAAGAAACCTCCTTAACCAGCAAAACTTGATTTTCTTGCCAAGGGAAGAGATGTGGCAGGTAATTTTAACACAAGATTAAAATACAAATTTATTTATAAAATCTTATGGAAGAAAGGATAGTATGTAGCTATAGAAGTAGAGGCAAGTTTACCAAAAGTGTTACAAGTGATTCAGTTAGACCAGATAATACTAAGAGCATGAAATGGGGAGAACAACCAACAGATGAAAACTGGAAAAGATTAGTCAAGATTTTGAAATGAACTATTCTTTTCACTAATGACAATGAATCTACTATATTTGGACTCTAACATCTGCTTGAAAAATTAGAAATGTCACTAGAAATTGGGAAAAGACTAGTCCAAGTTACACAAGAGAGGTCTGTCTTGGGGATATCATAAGAAGTGGAGGCTACCAAATGACTCAAAAAAATTAAAGGAATTATACAAACCAGTAGAAAAGGAGATTGAGAAAAATCAATAACTATTGACTCATTTGCTTACTTTTCCATCTCTATGAACTATTTATGGACATAATCAAACACATATTGAGGGCATCTTTGAGAATATAGAGACTTTTTGATTTGCTTGGTTTTTTCATAATTTCAAGTAACAAGCATTGTTTTTCTCCTTACCTCCTTCCTCCAACTGAAAAAAAAGTAAAATAAAACTCTTGTAACAAATATACAGTCAAGAAAAACAAATTCTTCCATTGGCCATGGATAAAATGTGTATTTCACCTCTACATATTTAGTCCATCACTTCTCCCTCAAGAAGTAGATAGAATCATCATCAGTCCTCTGGAAAGCACCAAACCTTTGTGCTGTGCCAAAAACAGTAACCTTAGAGGTCAAAGAAATGTAGCCTGCAGGATTATGTAAATGAAGACAGATTCTTAGTCTGATTTCATCTCAAAAGGAGGTTTCCACTATCTTATTCCTTTGGTTCCACCTAGACATTCTGTGGGTCTGATGAGATTAACTACAGAGAAACATCCCTGTGAGAAAAGGCCTGATCTTGGGTATGAGACATCAAAGTTACTCCAAAATTTAGACATTCTCCTCCTTCCCCAAATCACCTGACAACCCGTCAGCCTCACAAATAAGGAAAAAGGCTGAGCAGCCTCACCTGATAGGCTTCTTTTGCTACCTGCCCTAAAGATGTTTGTTGTTTTCAGTCATGTCTGACTCTTTGTGATCCCATTTGGGGTTTTCTTGGCAAAGATTCTGGAGTGAGTTGCCATTTCCTTCTCTAGTTCATTTTACAGATGAGGAACTGAGGCAAACAGGGTTAATTAACTTGCCCAGGGTCACACAGCTAGTAAACATCTGCGCCAGATTTGAACTCACAAAGATGAGTCTTCCTGACTCCAGGCCCCGCACTTTATCCCCTGAGCTACCTAGCTGTGTAAAATCCTATTGAACTGTGTATCTCTCCATGTTTTATTAGAGTTCCTAGCCACCAAACAACTAACCATCAGCTGATGCTAATTAACTCTTTATCTTCTAGGTTTTCCTCTTGATTTATTGACTTCCAATCAAATGGACCTAGGTGGGAGGAATTACCCTTCAGGAGGATCTTAGATCTCTGGGTTGAGGAATTCCCTAAGAGCTGGTCATTGCATTGACCTGAGTTCTTAATTGTTTTTAATTTGTTTGTTTTTACAATGTTATTATTATGATACAAACTGTTTTGCTAATTCTGCTCACTTCACTTGGCATTTGTTTGTGTAAGCTTTCCTAGGTTTCCCTAGAACCATCCGTTTAATAATTTCTTATGGCATAATATATTTTACATTCATATGCCATATTTTGTTCAGCCATTTCCAGACTGATGGCCCACCCCTTTAGTTTCCAGTTCTTTGCCACCACAATAAGAGCTGATATAAATATTTTTGGACATAAGGTTCCTTTTCCTTTCTTTGATCTCTTTGGGGGTATAAGCCTAGTAGTGGTATTGCCAGGTGACAGGATATGTAGTTTAGTAACTTTGTGGGCATAGTTCTAAACTGCTTTCTAGAATGGATGCACCAATTCATAGCTCCTTCAACAGTGCATTAATGGGCCTCTTTTCCCATAGTCCTTTTCAGTATTTGTAATTTTCCTTTTTATCAACTTCAAATCTGATAAATGTGAGATAGAATCTCAGAAAATAGGTACACTTTTACAAATAATATTCTATAGCAGACCACATCTATATAGTCACACTACTGATTAATTATTGTCTTGTGAAAGAAACAAAAGACCACATCATACTTAATGTGCGTTGACTATAAGAAAGCATTTGAATCGGCAGAACAAAATGCCGCTTTAAAAGCTTTCCTTGAACAATGTGTCTCCCATGCACATGAAAAATTCTATGAGATTCTTTGAAAGATTATGTGAGGCATAAAATAGGGGCACATATGCTCACCCAATGATGCTTGCCAGGGTCGTGCAGTCTATCCAGTAGACAACAGTAAAGTCCAAATGGAAAACAGATTCTCTATAGATGATGAGGCCCCTCAGATACTGATGGCATCAAGCCCCTAAGCACTGCAAAGCCTCCTAACAAAATCCATAAGTACTCAAAAGAGTTTAGATTAACTGTCCATAAAAACATCAAGTTCTTGAAGAATGTCTATTGTTCTGATGATGCTATACAATTATATGAACTCTTCATATAACTGATCTATCAGTATATACTCATATGTACAGATACGCATACAGCATGTCCCAGAAGTCTTGCCACAATTTAAATCCCTGGATATATATGTATGTTCTATACATATAGATATAATACCATCATAAAATGATGCAAATAAACACTCATATATAAACACACACAGGCACAATAAATACTGGGATGGATACCAGTTGTAGAATTGAATAGGAGGAAAAATGACTGGATAGCCTAAGGGAAATGGTGTAGTCTTTGTGTGTGTGTATATGTGTATTTAAAGTTAGAAACAGCCAATGTAGGGCGTGTGACAGGGAGTTAACTGGAGATGAGTAAATACATGAAGGTTTTGAAATTTTTCACAGGTTGATGAAAATGTGTACAACAGTGTGGCATCATCCTCAAATGCAGCTTTTGATTTCTAGATCAGGGTTCCTCAGGGTTCTAGACCAGCTTGGTCAGGGACCTTCTTTTTCTTTGGACCTCAAGGTCT